ATAGACAAAGCATCGAAAAATAACGTCCCCATTTCGATGATGATGGAAGTGTTTAACGACCTTGACTGGCTTAACAGCCCTCGCACAGTCGGCTCGGTGCCCGAAGGCGTTTGGTGAGCATTTAAATGTTTTTGTTGTTGTCAAGCTGGAACAGGACGGCCATTTTGGTTTTGCTGGATTGATTTGGTTTTTTACTATTGTTGTTTGGTTGCAGTCTACTTCCTTCACAACGGCTGCTTTCAGGGCCAGGTTGGTCAGCTTGGCAGCCCGCTATCCACGATGATGTAGTACTGGTCGATGGGTCTCGGACATAGTAATAACGATGACAGGAAGCTTTATCAGCCTTTCGACCGAACGTGGCTGCGTATTTATCTAACAGTTAACCAGAGGCGACCTATGTATGGGTTTTAGTGCTTAACAGTAAAAATACTTCTAATAATATTGGTGTACCCTTGGAATGGGTAAATGTCAGACGATGACAATACTCTATTAATATTGGTATACCCTTGGTATGGGTAAATGCCATACGATGACACTACTCTATTAATATTGGTGTACCCTTGGTATGGGTAAATGTCATACGGTGACAATACTCTATTAATATTGGTGTACCCTTGGTATGGGTAAATGTCAGACGTTGACAATACTCTTTTAATATTGGTGTACCCTTGTTATGGGTAAATGTCAGACGGTGACAATACTCTATTAATAGTGGTGTACCCTTGGTATGGGTAAATGTCAGACGGTGACAATACTCTATTAATATTGGTGTATACCCTTGGTATGGGTAAATGTCAGACGGTGACAATACTCTCTTAATATTGGTCTACCCTTGGTATGAGTGCAATACAAGTTCTAATCTAATATAACCAAATAATGATTAAACATTTTAGAAAACCACAATCTTACATGAATAGGTCCTGTAATTATGTAACCAAATTAAAAACTTGGAATGGATTTCAAGATATAAGAGATTACAGTTATATGAATAAAAGTATGGATATCTCTTAGAATAAAAAAAAGTAAGAAATACGAGATAAAAATTCTATTAGTAAGTTTGTCTCTAAATTTTGACTTCCAAACTGAACATTTTTGTTCATATTTTTTTCAAGTCACTATCATTCTTGTTGAAAGAAAATCTGCTTTTCCCCCTCAGCCTTTTCCATCTGATAAAAAGGGGTTGTAAACTGATTTCATTTGACACGACAACATTCTTTTCTCTCATTGGAAGAGTATTGAGACATTTGGAACAACTCAATAAAGGTTTGCCTATTGTACTACAAATTAGGCAGTGGCTATTCTTCCGGCTAGCCGGAAAAAATAGCAAAAAATGTCTAATCTTCCGGCCATCCGGAAGAATAGCTTTTCTGTGCTATTATGCTATAATTCCGGCCATACATAAAAATGAATGATGAATATGTTTTGGGTTAAGTGGTTATTGTAGCATCCAATGGAGAATGTAGTGGCAAAAAATTTCCGAACATGCAAACACTGAGAATTGGAACTATTCATTGTTTGCACGTTCTCCGAGCGGACGTAAACTCAAGATAAAACGTTCTGGAAAATAGTAATAACGCAAACATTTTTATTATGGGAATAAATTTCTCAAGTACCAACTTAGATTTATTTTTCTACTGGATGTTCGATCCATGGAACACGCCGATTCCCCGTAAATATAAACAGCTTGTCAAATGAAATAAAAAGAAGAATATCAACATCTACTGATATGCAGCAAATACACTTTTGAATTAAAGTCACTAGTAGTCTTGGCAAATAATTGTGCAAATGAAAATGCATATGAATTTACAACAAAGATACAGCTTATTCAGATTTGTTTTATTTTAAAGGAAAAGGGGGGGGGGAGGCAAAAATGCCTCTCCTATTTTGTTGTTCTACCTATTAATTTACTGCAAGGCTAAAAGTCGGGCCACTGATATATAGCTTTAATGGACATCTATGATTCCTGAGGAAGATCCTGAATTTATCGTTTCCTTGAAGTTTGGTTCAAATCAGGTCGTCAAATGATTTTGCACGATTTTTTAATCAAAATGTTCGGTGATTTTTAACACACATGAAATAAGAGAAAAGGGTAGGCACATGTTACCTGCCCCTAAAGTAAGATTTTGTTAGCGATAGATTTAAAAAAAAATAAAACAGAATAAAAAGGGGGGTTTACCCCAAACCCTGGTATACTATTCCCATTCCAGGCCTATCAGTGCATGTTCATAGATCTCCGTTGTAGTAGAACTTAGAAATAACGCATCAAAGCATATTTGATTTAGTTGTTTTCCCCTGAATTGTTGCTATACGTTTTGCCTCCATCAGTTGATACAGGTAAAGGTAATGGGGTAAATCAGCAATTTCAGTTTGATTTCAAGCTTTATTCTTCTCAGTTTACGTGCATACGCTATTGTTCCGGAGTCTCCCCTATAGAAATGTGTTTATAAAGCAATCACATTCTCTCTAATTTTCTTTAGGATATCTTTAAATATAAATCACGATCTCCAATTCTCAAAACGTCCATTGCATACGCGCGTTTGCAATCCGACACCTCATCCGGGACACTTTCCGCGCCACATGACACTTCTGTTGATATTGAACATTTGCGCATCCGCAAACTGATGGCCGGAAAAATAGAGATTTTTAACTATTCGTCCGGCTAGCCGGAACAATAGACACTCCGTACAAATTATCACTCAAGTGAAAAGTCTGCACACACTAAAGGTCCTTCTCAGTGAAAAGTTTGCAACATTTAGGGTCCTTCTAAGTGAAAAGTTTGCACACACTTAGGGTCCTTTTAAGTGAAAAGTCTGCACACACTTAGGGTCCTTCTAAGTGAAAAGTCTGCACACACTTAGGGTCTTTCTTATATTTGTAAAGATGTTACATTAAATTTGTATAATTTGGGATTATGTATACCGGTAATCACTGAAATGCTTAGGGAATATGTATACCGGTAATCACTGAAATACTTAGGGATTATGTATACCGGTAATCACTGAATTACTTAGGGATTATGTATACCTATACCGGTAATCACTGAAATACTTAGGGATTATGTATACCGGTAATCACTGAAATACTTATGGATTATGTATACCGGTAATCACTGAAATACTGAGGGATTATGTATACCGGTAATCACTGAAATACTGAGGGATTATGTATACCGGTAATCACTGAAATACTGTGGGATTATGTATACCGGTAATCACTGAAATACTGAGGGATTATGTATACCGGTAATCACTGAAATATTTAGGGATTATGTATACCGGTAATCACGGAAATGCTTAGGGATTATGTATAACGGTAATCACTGAAATACTTAGGGATTATGTATACAGGTAATCACTGAAATGTTTAGGGAATATGTATAATCACTAAACGTTTCAGGAATAACATATATCAAGAATATTTTGTATTATAAATACACAAGAACCGGAATAAAGATCGAGGCTGTTTTGTTTATAATGAAAATTATAAATAAAAGATAAACTTTGTTTGATAAACATCATATCAAAACATATTTACAAACATAATATATTAGTTTAAACAATATTTTCAAAAGTGCACAAATTACAATTATACAATAAAAATACAGGGATTCGGAAACAAGAAGAATCCGTCTCCCTTAACAAAATGACAACATTGGGAACATAGAAACCCGCTATGATATAATTTACCATTTACATTACATGTTTATTCTGTGGTTTGCCCGTTACTCAGAAGTCAGTTTGATCGAAAAATGTGATCAACTCATTTATAAATGTGGTCTCACATGTAGCTGTGAAAATATGTAAATGTTTCAAATATCAAAATTTGTAAATATATCAATATAAAATACTAATATGGCAAGTGCAATACTTCAAAACAAATCATTGAATGACATTTACTATTGCACATTTGCCTTTCTTTTCTTCATGCACATCTATTCCATTCACGTGGGTTTCTTGCCACAGCATCAAAATTTATAAGAAATCATGTCTTGTCTTTCACCTATAAAATCTGATTTCACCGAACGATTGTCGAACAGAAATGAGGTTTTCAGAAGAAACATTTGCAAAGTGCAACGATGTGAATCAGCCGAACTGATTCTTTTTGTACTATCTTATTAAAATTCCATATTAAGTATGTCATGTGATATCATTTCAATCGTTAAATGAAATATGGTCATTAGATTTTTGGTGTCTCTCTTTAATCGATTAATATGTGTATCCGGTATCAAATCATCACACCCAATGTCGGCCTGCTTCAAGATTTGGTCGATCTGTCAAGCATGCGTGTCTACATTTAATTAGTTGCATTAGTTAACACAGAAAACATAAAACAGATGTAGCATATGTTTTACCGTAAATTATATGCATTGTGCATTTACATTCAGACCAGCAATATGAAATAGAATAGAGAATGCATGGAAACGAGAAAGGGTATGAATCAACGGAGTATATGTCAACGAGACGGCAACCTCAAAATGAAATTCGTGCCAGCATACGACCTTCAACAATAGATGTCCGTGCCGTTTATCAAGCTGTGAAATCTCCAAGGTTTGTAGACAAGGTTAATTAAAAGGTCAAATTGAAACGCACTGGAATTTCAATATCAAATTTTCTAAATTAACACACTTAAAAAGGTAAGATTTTTTTAGCAACCTTATAAGTATCTCTATAAAATTCAAATATGGCACATTGGTTTTGATAAAATGTTGAACAGTCCAATTGGTTATAATGGTTTATAACGTTTTCATCAAAAAAGGCTTAATTTGTATTTTTTTAAACTTTAATTCTCATAGTTTATTGATACTCAAAATTTACACTTCTCATTATTTTTTTCATATTTGGCAGACAAAGTCACACGGGATATTCTGATCCTTAATCATAATTATCCAAGATAGATACAAAGACATTACATTATTGGTCAAGGTTGCGCCAACTTTGAATTCATTCATTTATTTGTAAATTTGCATCTATAATATATAATTTATCACTATGACTACTTACAGAAGGGAAGACTGTTGAAGCCATGATCCCATTGAAGAGATCTGATCTGAAAAAGAAATTGGAAACAATCTAAAACATAATGTAATTAAGGACATAAAAAGACCATTCATAAAACAAGGATCTACACGTATCATTAACATATTTAGGGAACACATTTGAGTGTTCTATGACAAAAACAAATCACATTATACCGTGTTTCTGGAATAAACTTTCCCATGGGTCAGGGACCATCGACACCAATATCAAAACTATTATATGAAGATACTACAGACATTGCGCACGTTATTGGCGCCTGTCTGAAAAAAAAAATGACTGATAGCGGGTTGTTCCAATTCTTTGTCAAGATCTTTTTCTACACAATAAATATCTATGTTCTACATATCATTCGAAAGCATATTAACCAAAGAAATCAATAAAATATAGGTAAGTTTGTGCTCTGCATATCATTTATAGAAAACACTTAGTTCATTCGATTGCCTTTAACGACATTTTAAGGGTATCCCCCTGTAACACATTGTTATGGTGGACGAGGTTAGTATGTTAAATATAATAATAAAATTTCCTTCGATATTATAAGATATAAGATATCATGTAAGTGATTCTCTATGATCATACCAGAAAAAATCACACATTTCCCAAAGAAGCTATCTGAAGTCATTACTATCTAATTGCGGTCTTACTTTCAAAACATTGTTAGTTTTCTTGTGTTCAATAAAATGTCCCGACTGACAAAAGGATGCATTTACAAATTCAAAGACTGTTGAATGAAATTCCACCTTATTTCAAATTTTTAACACTTTTTAACTGACTTTAAGAGACAATGCATTAAATTCCTATAAAATTAAAAGAGATTTATTTTAGCCTTAGCTGCATGTAGAAAATACGAAACGATTTAATATGTCTAATGAAATGTCCCCGTTACTATATTTTGACGTCCACGTCGTGATAACGCTAAAAGCACATGACTTTTCTTGCATATTTTTGAGAAAATTCATTGCATGAAATTGTCTGATATATATTAGGTTAAGTTCTTGCTTGATTAGCAGTTAAGTAAATCTGATTGTATAAATAATTTTAGATAACGACATATTTAACTGTGATACTTGATAAAGGCAGAGCCATAACAATGAGAGAAGCTCTATGATCTAAGTTTCCTGCACTTTTAGAAAAGGAACATATAGTGAAAAATGAGACTGCGATCCAAAGTGAGCTCATATTACTTATTTGTTCTTGAACCAAATTATAAACGATTCAAAATCAATCGTTACGCCATCAATTCCAAGGCTTCATGTTATAGTACAAATACTTAAATGGCTTTTACTGTTGTCATCTGCATAACATCACGTATATTAACTTTCCACCAGAGACCAAAACTATTTTTAAAATACACGGTCTAAAACTGTTCAGTAATATCATTTGTTTTAAGAAACAACGTTTGCTTGCATAGTGCTACACTTGAAATCGAACGAATGTCAAAATATCACTGCCGATCAAACAGTCCAATATTATTCCCTGGAGCATACGGAAACTGAGACACTAAACAGAAAGGACAGCCTAATCTATTTAAAGCATACAATGTTCATTTGTTGGTAAAACAACAACCACACTTACATGTAAAGTCCCTTCAGTAAATCAATGGAAACAGGAACCGAATGTTAGCTAACAACCTCGAGACAATATCAGATATAAGATCACTTACAGGAAGAAAAAACAATCCACAAAGTATGGGAACCAATAAAAACAATCCACATAGTATGGGAACCAATAAAAACAATCCACAAAGTATGGGAACCAACAAAAACAATCCACAAAGTATGTGGGCCAACAAAAACAATCCACATAGTATGGGAACCAATAAAAACAATCCACAAAGTATGGGAACCAATAAAAACAATCCACATAGTATGGGAACCAATAAAAACAATCCACAAAGTATGGGAACCAATACAAACAATCCACATAGTATGGGAACCAATAAAAATAATCCACAAAGTATGGGAACCAATAAAAACAATCCACAAAGTATGGAAACCAATAAAAACAATCCACAAAGTATGGGAACCAATAAAAACAATCCACATAGTATGGGAACCAATAAAAACAATCCACAAAGTATGGGAACCAATAAAAACAATCCACAAAGTATGGGAACCAATAAAAACAGATATTATTCAATTTATTATGTAAAATGCTAAAAAAAAAGCAAAACAATTATTACTAAAAAAAAAAATACCCATACAGTACCAAAAGCTGAATATTATGAAATCGTTTAGCTTGTTAACATAGATTAAAACTTGTTTGTACTATTAAAGTTGATACCAAGTTCCGTGTTATTTTCACCGGTATCTTTACTTTAGTCATTGTAAAACCTACATTTCCACGTATTGAACAGCGGTATACTACTATTGCATTTATTTGTCCCCCTTTTAAAAAATGTTTACTCTTATAGGAAATAATTTTACATACCATCTTATCCATTAATCAAATGTTTTATCATTTTATACGTAACATTTTATCATAGGTAAACAAAGATTTATGAGTCTTTAGTTAAATATGATCAATATAGGGGTTCACTGTGCCGACGGTTGTAAATCCATAGTGTAAATAAAAACGAAATCTTCATAACCTAACTAAAAAATCTACGTGTATCTATCTACCTGTATTGTTTAACTCTATAGTTATGTCTTTCCCTTCAACATATGATTTTAAACACGTAAATTTATTTTTTTTCTGGCTGTTGTGCATATTTTGTACCGTTTACTATTTTTTGTTTTGCCATCGTCCTGTTTTGTTTGTCTCCACGATGTTACTTGATTCCACGAGTTTCATAGATGATAGAACTTAACTGTTAATTATATCAATTGTTGGCTATATTTCCGAAGTTGCTCTTCATAAAAAAGATTTCACTCGATAATTTTCAAATTTGACACTGTTACCATGCACACATCAATTTTATCTCAAATACCAGTCACCCTTTTACAAACAATGGTAAACAAACAATGACATTTGCAATTTCATACATTCAATAAACGACAGAAAAGAAAACATAAATTATATTTTCTCGGGTGCTTTTTTAATGTGGTCTCAGAGACATTATCAAATTAAAGGAACCTGATGTTCAGTGGTTGTCGTTTGTTGATGTGGTTCATAAGTGTTACTCGTTTCTCGTTTTTTTTATAGATTAGACCGTTGGTTTTCCTGTTTGAATGGTTTTACACTAGTCATTTTTGGGGCCCTTTATAGCTTGCTGTTCGGTGTAAGCCAAGGCTCCGTGTTGAAGGCCGTACTTTGACCTATAATGGTTTCATTTTTTCAAATTGTGACTTGGATGGAGAGCTGTCTCATTGGCACTCATACCACATCTTCTTATATCTACTCATTATGTTTTATTCCATTCGACAACATACTTTTATTTTTTATACTGTAACAACGTTAACAGTAAATTGTTTAATAAAACACATAAATTATTCAACCACCGTTTTCCTTTTTTTTTCTTCACAGATGCAGGGATTATGAATGAAAGTATAAACCTACTTGAAATAAATAAGTAACAGGGACATTTCACACAAAGTGATTGTCGTAATATTTTTATATATTAATAAAAGCAACCAAAATTAGGAATTGTCCTTCCCGTCTTTTTACTTGCTCTTAGATTAATCATAAAAGATGTAATGATACGGTTGTTGTGAATTTATTGTGTCTGGTTTTTTACGGATTTTAATTCATTCGCTTATGTCAATAAACAAGGCTAACTCTTTCTCTTTTTTTCAGAATTTTTATTTACTCTGGGCACTGCACAAGATCGTCGTGCCACCAATTTACGTTTCCTCTTGGTGTTGTAAACAATTTCCTACAAAGTACGACTACCGATGTTAGCGTGTGGGACGGTATAATATCTATATCAGCAGGTTAAGTATTTTGAGATTGTTATCAGTGACACCAAACATTCTGTGATATCATATTATCTATTTGTTGTATAGTTTACATCTGTGTTTCTATGATATGTTTTATACCAGATATCATTGCATTAGTGTTTTTTCAGGAACGTTGGTACGATCCTCTTTGAATAATTTATTCTACTGATTGAGATTAAAAATCAACGAGGGGGAGGAGAATGAAGCTAAAGCGTTCAAAGTATTTGTTTCGAAGTTCGTAAGGTTCGTAGATACAAATTTCTTGTTTTAGGTCATAAAAAATGTTACTTTGTGAAGAATCTCACTGATGTCAAAAATCAAATACGCCGAGGACATCATCATCAAAATGCTGAACTTTGTGATCGACAACACAGTTATTAAGTTTGATGGATTTATATCTTAACAGACAGCTGGTATTCCAATGGGTACTAATTGTGCATCCCTACTGTCTGACATGTGTTTGAAAACATATGAAGAAGAACTCACACATATTCCTTTTTAAAAAGAAGAAAAAAACATCTAGCAAGGTTCTTTAATTTCACTTCCGTTGATGATGTCCTGTCGCTCCTCGATATTGACACAGATGGACGACTTCAGACGATCTATGACAACGTGATAATTTCATCTTTCCAATCGTCAACTTCCCATTTCTCAGCAGTAACATACCCTCTGCTCCATCGTATGGTGTTTACATGTCTCAATTGATACGTTACATTCGTGCATGTTGTATGTACTATACACTATACGGTCTTCATTAGCAGGGGTGTGTTCCTGACACAAAAACTGCTCCAACAGAGTTACAAATGGACGAGGAACAGTATTCATAAAGGTGGTTGAAAAATTGATTTAAACCACTTTTATAAATGCAGTGTAATTTTAAACTTAGTCTAAATCATTTTTAAACTTAGCTTGAATTTAAACCACCTCTAGATCTATGAGTACTGGCCCGAACGTCTCAACTCACTAGCGACATGTTTTCGTAGTCATAACAGAATTGTTGACTTATCTGTAATTTTACTAATTATATTCTATTCCAGATTGTGACATTTTGACTGAGTGTGGAATCGTCTGACGGGTGATGTATGCATAGCAGGTGGACGCACACAGGTTCGCTCCTGTTAGAACTATTCACAACTGTTCTGTGCTCTGGCCCATAAAGAGTTCGACATATATGTATATACACTTGTTTACTGTGCTCTGGCCCATAAAGAGATAGACATATATGTATATACACTTGTTTACTGATGAAGACAATAAATAAAACTATGTTAACTAATTTATGATACCCATTATCTAATAAATGCCGACTTTATTCCTTATACAAAAAAAAAATATTTAAAGGGAGACAATTCTTGCTAGCAAAATACAAATCTTAGGTGACGTGTCGTGAAGTTTAATCTCTGAACATATCAAATAAGTCTTTGTTTTTCAGTATCTTCAAAATTAGCAAACCCTTCTCATAATCATATGTTTTTCTTCTGTAAATTTTTATATATTGTTTATTATTCTTAACTAAAACTGCATGAATAGTTTCCTCTGGACATTAAACAATTGATTATTCACCATTTGCTTCCGTTTACTGACTTAAATAGGTCTCGTTTTTTGTTCTTTTTAAATTGTTTCACATTCTGTTTTCTGGAGCCTTTTAAAACATACCATACAATATATATTGGATTTGCTCATGGTTGAAGGCCACGCGGTGACCTCTATAGTTGTTTATATTCTTGTCTTTTGGTCTCTGGTGGATAGTCATCTTCACATCTCCTCAATTTTAAATTGTTGTGCGACATATAATAAAACGAGATCATGCTACAAAATCAGAGAATAAAAGGATTCTGTTTTAAAATAGTCAATAACTGCAATGTGAAGAGTAAGGTTACACGTTAATTAACGTTACATGATCAATTAAATATGTTGTTAATCTGTTGAAAGCATGTCCGATCACATTATTCGATGATCTATAAATGTAATTCAATATTACAAAAAATAGATGACTTATATAATAACACTATTCAATTTTCCGTAAACCACCGTCTCTGAATTTAAATGGGTTATTTCATTTTTGTCACTATACAATCAGACCGTTGAAGGGATATTCGTCGCTAAGGAAGCTATGTATCAATCACAGCACTTAGGTGTACGATTTTGAAAATAAGGGAATTATAGATATATAAAGATATAAAAAAGACGTGGTATGATTGCCAAGGAAACAAATATCCACCAGAGTTCAAATGACGTGGATATAAGCAACTACAAGTCACGATACGGCCTCCAACAATGAGCAAAATACATATTTTCTGCTATAAACAATACAAGAAAAAATGAAAATATGGCAAATATTCTTGTCCATTCACATCGGCTTATTCATTTTACATTTTGTGTGTGTGTATTTTTATTCGATGTTCTATAAATGTAATTCAATATTACAAAAAATAGATGACTTATATAATGACACTATTCAATTTTCCGTAAACCACCGTCTCTGAATTTAAATGGGTTATTTCATTTTTGTCTCTATACAATCAGACCGTTGAAGGGATATTCGTCGCTAAGGAAGCTATGTATATAGATATATAAAGATATAAAAAAGACGTGGTATGATTGCCAAGGAATCAAATATCCACCAGAGTTCAAATGACATGGTATAAGCAACTACAAGTCACGATACGGCCTTCAACAATGAGCAAAAAGTATATCTTCTGTTATAAACAATATTAGAAAAAATGAAAATATGGCAAATATTCTATTCGCCTAATCAGTTAAACGCGGAGACGTAAAATCATTTTTCAATCACACACACACACACACATATATATATATATATAAGAGATGGTTTTTGTTTCAATTTGCAATCTGTAAAAAAAATTCTGTTTCCACTGTTTGACATTTTTGTTGTTCGCTTAACGTCCAGTGGTAACTTTGTCATATTTATTTTTGGACAACAACAATAAACAACAATGTCAATAGATATAGGTTCTTACAATTGGATTCACCGGAATGCAGGACAAGACTTTCAGACTGCGGCTGGCAAAATAGGGTATTTCGGACAAGGGCAGGAGATATGGTGTCTTGCAACAGACTACATAAGGACCCCTTAATGAGATCTAGAACAAGACGGGAGTTTGCAACTCTTATAACGCTGGACATCCGTTTGAAGTTCTTATTCCGACATTACGGGGCTGTGTATATATACAACCAAAACAGCCAAAACGGACGTCCTTCTTTAGCCTTGGGTTTACTGCCGGCTTGAAAAAGTCCAAAGGCCTATGTTAAAAAAAACCAGCCATACCATAGGGTCGGCCTTATAGAGTTTTTGCGTTACAGCTACATTTAAGTTCTATAAATAACTACATACATGTATATTGCTAATCGTAAAATGTTATCGCTATTTTATACATGTAACCAACATAAGTGGTTGACCTTGTCCATTTCCTTATAGAGTGTATACAAATTAAATAACATTGTAAGGGTGGTTTTAGTTTAGAGATAAGTAGTGAATATTTATAAAAAATAAGATGATGTGTTACATGTATAATTGCCAATGAGACCAGAGACCATATGGCATAGAAGCCAGAGACCAAATGACATAGAAGTTAACAACTATTAAGGTAATTTTTGCTTAGCAATTTTTAAATGATTTTTGTCTGAAAATTCGTTATAACTTTACATCTCCTTTTGTCAATTGGAGTAGGTACAAAACTATAGTGTTACAAATTGCTTACTTAGAAGACTAATCATCAAGTTAATTCGGTCAAGCGGAAAGAGATACAATGTACCTTTTTTGTACTTACCTAAAGTTTCCTCTGTCAAACATACTTTAAACTTTAAATAAATATCCTTTTCAAACGCATCTCCGTACTTTTAAAAGCTTATCAACTAGTTACTTTTTTCCGCAGTTGAAATTATAAAATAAAAAGTTGAATAAATAAAATGTGTGTAGTCATACCACCACTGAGTTCCCCTGTATTCCTGAGGAAATGCATCCTCCAAACTTGACACAAACTTATCCGGTATATTTTGGATACTAATAATAATGTAATAAATTTTATTAACCATTCAAAATTATGAATATAAAAACACGGAAGTTAGATCTATTCTGTTAGTTTAAATCAAACGTGACTTTATATTTTGCATTCCCGGAATTTTAAGTGTAGATTATTGTCTTGAAATATTTATATTCAATGTTTTCAACGGTTTATTAAAGTCTCATCTCTCAACAAGTACAATCGATATTTATACATTGCAAAACAATATTAAATAAAATGAGAGCCATTCTATACAGAATTATAAGAGACTATTAAAATGCATAGATATAATACATTAAACAATATGGAATAAAATACTATTTACAATATATACAATTTCTACGTCTTCTTAAAATCAAATAACAGGTTTTGGCACACACACGTATCATATTTACATCTGAGAATAAAAACACTAACTTTTGGTTATCATCTAAAGTATCAAAATTTTCATTAGAAGTTTCAGCAACATAATATAAAAGGTTTCTAAAATCGTCATATAGAGGACATCTTAATAAAACATGTACTGACATGATCAACCGACCGACGCATGAACTGACATGATCAACCGACCGACGCATGTTCTGACATGATCAACCGACCAAACACATGTACTGATATGATCAACCGACCGACGAATGTATCATGTTGATACCCTGATACAAACTGTTAAAATATTAACTTGTCTCAGACTTTAGTTTTCTATGTAGTTTGTAGACTGGTGTTTGCCTTTCTATGTAGTTTGTAAACTGGTGTTTGCCTGTCTATGAAGTTTGTAGACTGGTGTTTGCCTTTCTATGTAGTTTGTAGACTGGTGCTTGACTTTCTATGTAATTTGAAGACTGGTGTTTGCCTTTCTATGTAGTTTGTAGACTGGTGTTTGCCTTTCTATGTAGTTTGTAGACTGGTGCTTGCCTTTCTGTGTAGTTTGTAGACTGGTGCTTGCCTGTCTATGTAGTTTGTAGACTGGTGCTTGCCTTTCTATGTAATTTGTAGACTGGTGTTTGCCTTTCTTTGTAGTTTGTAGACTGGTGTTTGCCTTTCTATGTAGTTTGTAGACTGGTGCTCGCCTTTCTATGTAGTTTGTAGACTGGTGCTTGCCTTTCTATGTAGTTTGTAGACTGATGGTTGCCTTTGTATGTAGTTTGTAGAGTGGTTTTTGCCTTTCTATGTAGTTTGTAGACTGATGGTTGCCTTTGTATGTAGTTTGTAGAGTGGTTTTTGCCTTTCTATGTAGTTTGTAGAGTGGTTTTTGCCTTTCTATGTAGTTTGTAGACTGATGGTTGCCTTTGTATGTAGTTTGTAGAGTGGTTTTTGCCTTTCTATGTAGTTTGTAGACTGGTTTTTGCCTTTCTATGTAGTTTGTAGACTGGTGTTTGCCTTTTCATGTAGTTTGTCGACTGGTGTTTGCCTTTTTATGTAGTTTGTAGACTTGTGTTTGTCTTTCTATGTAGTTTGTAGACTGGTGCTTGCCTTTCCATGTAGTTTGTAGACTGGTGTTTACCTTTCTATGTAGTTTGTAGACTGATGGTTGCCTTTGTATGTAGTTTGTAGAGTGGTTTTTGCCTTTGTATGTAGTTTGTAGAGTGGTTTTTGCCTTTCTATGTAGTTTGTAGACTGATGGTTGCCTTTGTATGTAGTTTGTAGAGTGGTTTTTGCCTTTCTATGTAGTTTGTAGAGTGGTTTTTGCCTTTCTATGTAGTTTGTAGACTGATGGTTGCCTTTGTATGTAGTTTGTAGAGTGGTTTTTGCCTTTCTATGTAGTTTGTAGACTGATGGTTGCCTTTGAATGTAGTTTGTAGAGTGGTTTTTGCCTTTCTATGTAGTTTGTAGAGTGGTTTTTGCCTTTCTATGTAGTTTGTAGACTGATGGTTGCCTTTGTATGTAGTTTGTAGAGTGGTTTTTGCCTTTCTATGTAGTTTGTAGACTGATGGTTGCCTTTGTATGTAGTTTGTAGAGTGGTTTTTGCCTTTCTATGTAGTTTGTAGACTGTTGGTTGCCTTTGTATGTAGTTTGTAGAGTGGTTTTTGCCTTTCTATGTAATTTGTAGACTGATGGTTGCATTTGTATGTAGTTTGTAGAGTGGTTTTTGCCTTTCTATGTAGTTTGTAGACTGTTGGTTGCCTTTGTATGTAGTTTGTAGAGTGGTTTTTGCCTTTCTATGTAGTTTGTAGACTGATGGTTGCATTTGCATGTAGTTTGTAGACTGGTTTTTGCCTTTCTATGTAGTTTGTAGACTGATGGTTGCCTTTGTATGTAGTTTGTAGACTGGTTTTTGCCTTTCTATGTAGTTTGTAGACTGATGGTTGCCTTTGTATGTAGTTTGTAGAGTGGTTTTTGCCTTTCTATGTAGTTTGTAGACTGATGGTTGCCTTTGTATGTAGTTTGTAGAGTGGTTTTTGCCTTTCTATGTAGTTTGTAGACTGATGGTTGCCTTTGTATGTAGTTTGTAGAGTGGTTGTTGCCTTTCTATGTAGTTTGTAGACTGATGGTTGCCTTTGTATGTAGTTTGTAGAGTGGTTTTTGCCTTTCTATGTAGTTTGTAGACTGATGGTTGCCTTTGTATGTAGTTTGTAGAGTGGTTTTTGCCTTTCTATGTAGTTTGTAGACTGATGGTTGCCTTTGTATGTAGTTTGTAGACTGGTTTTTGCCTTTCTATGTAGTTTGTAGAGTGGTTTTTGCCTTTCTATGTAGTTTGTTTGCCTTTCTATGTAGTTTTTCGTTTTTTGTCATCATGATGGTTTTGTCGATTTATTTTCGACTTCTGAATTTTGATTGTCCCTTTGCTAACTTTCGCTTCTCTTTGAGTACATAAAAAATCCCCAAAAAGAAAAAAAAAAAAAAACAGCAAATAAACAAAACTAAAAAGAAAAAAAGCAAAGACAAAAAACATTTAAAAATCATCATCAAATTACAAAACAAAAAAGAAAGCTTCCAACTGCCTCCCACTTAAAATTCATCACTACCGACACATGTGTTATATTAAGTACAGAACCAAATTACTTAGGAGTATTGTCAGGTGCCAAAGGAAATACACAAAAAAACTACGTCTTGTTTCCAGGAATCGAAGTTGCTGTTTAAGGAATTTCTGAAGTTGGATGTGAATGCGAGACTGAGCATGAATCGTTTGTGAAACTGTTTAAGTCAAGAGCATTTGGTTGACATTCCATTATCAGATAATTAACAGTATGACATAATTTACACTGTGTCATCAAACCATTTAAACCATACATTTTATCGGAAAAAAGCATAATTGGTGACTGTATTGAAAAATTGGTTTGTATTTAAATTCAACAAAGTAGTAGTATTAAACGCATAGAAGTAGGAATTCACCATATTTATTCATAGAACTTTGATCGGCTTTGATATGAATAATTTCACCTCGACAGATTTATTCAATTATTGCTGAATGAATTTAATGTTATTCATCATGTACAAACATTAGGATGCATAATACTGTTAGTTGGTTTTTCCTTGCGGGTTAGGAGTTTAGAGTCAATCCTGTTGGCAGGGTTTGAATGTTCGCGGGTTTCTTTTTGGGATTTTTCTTTCTTATAAATCAAATTTATTTAAGCGATTTTAATTCAAACGCGAAATTATAAAAAAAATAAACCCCTTGTGGAAATTTTCAACCTTACATACAAAAACATAAGACTTAGGTTTCGAACCAAACAGCCTAACAGAACAACCAAATCCTTCGTAAGTTATCTCCACTTGACGAATTTACAACCGTAGTTTCGGTAGAAAATCCAGAATTATAAACTGAAGATAAACAAAATTGTAGATTTGTATCAACATCATATAGGTATATTATCATAAAATAAGGATACGTGGTATGTTTAAGAAATAATTCATGGAAGCCATAGATTTGTTGGAAATTTACACATGGCCTCGGCCGTGATATTCGAATTTTATCCTGAGCGTTAGCTATAGTAAGCTATAAAAGATCCCGGGAGACAATTCAAAAGAAAAATCCAACGGCCAGTTTCATGCTAAAACTATAAACGAAAAACAATTATGGCAGACAACAATCAACGAATTACTGGATTACAGGCTCCTGGTTTTGGACAGGCACACAAAGAATCAAGCGAGGATAAAACTTTTTGCGATCGCTAAATTCTCCCCTAACCTGGGGTATTGGCATAACAAAACACAATGAGGCCTAACTGCAAAATCAATTGAAAAAGCCACATCTTCTTATTTCTATATTGACTCAGTAGATTGGTATTTTGCGCAAAAAAATATCTAATAGTACTCGCAGTTACTGGAAGCTATAGTTCGTAGCCAATTACAACTTATAAACAAACTATGTCCTCCCAGGCAAAAGTATCAATCAGTACAAACCCAACGAGTTTAGTGTAAAGACGTCTAATACAGTCTGGGAAAAGCACGACTTTGTAGATAATGGCAGGGATTCGGACCATTACCGAATAGAAATACATGATTAGTTATATACATTAAATTATTAAAAATAAAATCAATATTAGTAACGATAAAGACAGTTGATGACCTTAAATAATAATTTAATTAAAGATCAATAAGTGTTCAACAGAAGGATTATACAATTATTCAATGGGTCACTTCGTGTTTAGTTAATGTATGGTAATACAGATAACATAAACATGACTGAAACACTTTTCTTCAGAATGATTATAAGGAAGGTAACATGGCGGATTTTAAGGTTGCCATTATGACTTGACTGATCATTATAGTATATCGATTTCAGTTTTATCTATTTGCCAAAGACATGTCTATCTGATATTGATACCGTTTTTGATATATTCTAACAACTGGACTGGGTGATCACATGTCGGACTATGCGATGTGTATAATTTGTCTAAGCACCGAATCTCGCTCCGTAGGAGATTCTGCATGTTCTGGTTGGTTCCAATCCCGTATTCGGTCTGTTGTATAACAGAAAAACTAAGGATATGGGGTATCCATCCATGACAAAAAATCAGAACATGCACTGGACTGGACTATTGATATCAACTTTAACTCAATATATTACCCTTTAGA